GGCTTTTCCAATCCTTCCGAGCATTGTTTCATGGTTTGCCATCAGCAGCATTGTTTCAAGTCACAACTCCTTTTGCCGTTGTAGGTGAAGCCTTAACGGAACAAGCCGACTTATCGATGCTCCGACCGCTCCAATTCGACTCGTCGTTCGTCAACCGACAGGTGCTGGACGACATTGATGAAACGAAGAATTTCCGTGCTCTAGCTGTAGAAGATAGCGAAAGCTTTCTTTCTGGAATGGAGGCTCCTCGTGATAGCCAGCCTGAGAAGACCATCACCGAAAAAACTGAAGAGGTCCGCCATTTCCATACCTTGTGATACTTGGGCTCGTTTATTTTAATGTAAATGTTCTCGGATCATCACTTTTTTCCTTGCATGCATGCTATATGACTGGATATACTGTAATAAATCCTTAATAATCCCTTTATTGGACTCTTCATTTTAGGATGTGATCTTAGATGATGGGTATGGAACAACGTCTGACAATGCCGCAACTAAGGGAGCTGACTATAGCTCGTGTAAGAAAACTAACAGCGTTTGTCAGAACAAAGCACCAAGTAATCAAACGTGACGGGTTTTCATCATAAATAGAGTTCCTTTTCTAAATATTGGTTTTTATTAAGTGACCATAATACCACTCAAAAATGTTTCTGTTTTAAAAACTTTTTACGAGGACGATAACTCTGAGGATATCAGTGAGTGGTGCTCGCTAATAGTGTATTTTCATTAACGTATCTTTTTGCACAGCTATACTCACGTGTGTTTTAGCTGGATTATGTTTGTCAACTTGTCTTAAAAAGCTATTGTTGTGATATACGTTGGTTAATATCATGAACACTGTAGATAATAAACTGTTGTAAGGTATAAGAACCTGCACTGTCTCTACAGTAGTCACGCCAGTTAGTTCGTAGCACCATCTTTCACTGTGAGTAGGTTCACAGTTCGTGGAGCAGCGAGGAGCGAGCAACCGCTCAGCACCAGCAGCTATCCGCCAATTGCTGTCGCTCGCCCGCTCCAACCATTGGTGGAAAAGGACTGGCGTCGCGCCATATCAAGCGTCCCTGGCACGTCCTAGCACCCGGAGCAGGCAAGATTGTAGCTCATTAGTGACTATGTGACACGACTGTGCATATCGTCGATCCCGAAGTCGCGGCAAAAGGGACATCGCAGACGGTGCAGGCGGGATCACTATCACAGCAGGACCCAGTCAAGTCAACGAGGCAGCCAGATTTGTGTTAGGCCTGTTCTGGAATGCCTCCAGAACCTCCATCTTATTATGATTGTCATCTCAACACAATGAGGACAT